TTGTTCTATGACATCGGTTAACAACCCCACGACATACCAACCCTCTCCCTTCTCGACCTTTGGTTGGGAGTTTTTTTAATTACCTTTTCAATCTCTTCTTTTGTTATGGGTTTATTTAGTTGTTCTACCTCTATTTGTGTTAGTTTAGGTAGGCAGTGAGTTTCTAGAAATTGGTCCATTTCCTCTAGGTTTTCAAATTTGTTAGAGTACAGTTTTTCATAGTATCCTGTTATGATTCTCTTCATTTCAGTTGGGTCTGTTGTGATATCACCCATCTCATTTCTTATACGGGTTATCTGCTTCTTCCGTTTTTCTTTTGGCAGTTTGGCCAGTGGTTTATCGATTTTGTTGATCTTTTCAAAGAACCAGCTTTTGGTCTTGTTAACTTTTTCAATTGTTTTTCTATTCTCTACTTCATTTAATTCTGCTCTAATTCTTATTATTTCCTTTCTTCTGGCGCCTGAGGGCTTGTTTTGCTGCTCTCTTTCTACTTGTTCCAGTTGTAGGGTTAATGTTTTGATTTTGGTCCTTTCTTCTTTTTGGATGTGTGCATTTATTGCTATAAACTGACCTCTGAGCGCTGCTTTTGCTGTGTCCCAAAGGTCCTGGTAGGATGTGTTTTCATTCTCGTTTGATTCTATGAATTTCTTTATTCCATCCTTAATTTTTTTGTATAACCTGGTAGTTTTTGAGCAAGGTGTTGTTCAGTTTACCATGTGTTCGATTTTTTTTCCTTGCTTTTTCTGTTGTTGATTTCTAATTTTATGGCTTTATGGTCAGAAAAGATGCTTTGTAATATTTCGATGTTTTGGATTTTGTTAAGGCTTGCTTTGTGGCCTAATACGTGGTCTGTTCTGCAGAATGTTCCATGTGCGATGGAAAAGAAAGTATACTTGGCTGCTGTTGGGTGATGTGTTTGATATATGCCTATGAGATCAAGTTGGTTGTAGCGTTTAGCTCTTCTTGTCTTTGTTGAGCTTCTTTCTGGATGTTCTGTCCTTCACCAAAAGTGGTGTGTTGAAGTCTCCTACTACTATTATGGAGCTGTCTTATCTCTCTTTTCAGTGCTCTTACAGTTTGTTTTATGTTTATTTTGGAGCCCTGTCATTGGGTGCTTAAATTTTTATTGTGGTTTTGTCCTCCTGGTGTATTGACCCTTTAATCATTATATAGTGTCCTTCCTTATATTTTGTGGTAGATTTTACTTTAAAGTTGATTTTGTCATAGATTAATATTGTCACTCTTGATCTTTTTTGAGGGTTGTTTGCTTGTATATTTTTTTCTACCCTTTGAGTTTTAGTTTGCGTGTGTCTTTACGGTGTGTCTCCTGTAGACAGCATATAGATGGATCGTGGTTTTTTTATCCAGTCTGCCACTCTCTGTCTTTTTATTGTGCATTTAGGCCATTTACATTCAGTGTAATTATTGATAGGTATGAGTTTAGTGCTGTCATTTTGATTTCTTTTTTTGTGTGTTGTTCACAGTTTCTTTGTTCCACTTAATTTTCTGTGCTGAGTCGTTTTTATTTATGTATTTTCTTTCCATCTTTCTTGTTGTTGATTTTGTGTTTGCTGAGTCTTTATATTTTTCTAGTTTCTTATTTTGATTTGTAAGATTATTAGTTTGCTTTGTGGTTACCTTAATATTTACCCCAATTTTTCTAAGTTTATACCAGTCTTTTACTTTTTAATATCGCCTTGACTTGTCTGCATATGAAAAATCTGTGTCTACATTTTTTTAGTCCCTCTTTTTTGTTTTAATGTTGTCATCTTTTACATATTGACTTCTGTTTCCCTGTTTTCAGTGTTTTAGCTTTGATTTACTTTTGTGATTTCCCTATCTGGCTTGATATCTGGTTGCTCTGTCCTGTGTTCTAGTCTTGGGTTGTTATCTGATGTTACTGATTTTCTAACTGGAGGATTCCCTTTAGTATTGTAATTTTGGTTTGGGTTTTGTAGATTCCCTAAACTTCTTTCTATCTGGAAATGCCCTGATTTTGCCATCATATTTGAGAGACAGTTTTGCTGGATTTATAATTCTTGGCTGGCAGTTTTTGTCCTCAAGGCTTTATATATGCCATCCCCATTGCCTTCTTGCCTGCGTGGTTTCTGCTGAGTAGTCCGAGCTTATTCTTATTGACTCTTCTTTGTAGATGACTTTTTGTTTATCCCTAGGTGCTCTTAAAATTCTCTCTTTATATTTGGTTTTGGCAAATTTGATTATAATATGTCTTGGTGACTGTCTTTTGGGATCTACTTTATGTGGGGTTCGATGAGCATCTTGGATAGATACCTTCTCATCTTTCACAATATCAGGGAAGTTTTCTGTCAACAAATCTTCAACAATTCTCTCTGTATATTCTGTTATTCCTCCAGTTCTGGTACTCCAATCACTCGTAGGTTATTCCACTTGATAGAGTCCCATGTAATTCTTAGGGTTTCTTCATTTTTTTAAAATCCTTTTATCTGTTTTTTCCTCAGATAAGTTGGTGTCAAGTGCTTTATCTTCAATCTCACTACTTCTGACTTCCATTACCTCAAATGACTTTCTGTTGAGTTTGTCTAATTCTGAAATTTTATTGTTAATCTTCTGGATTTCTGTTTGCTGTCTCGCTATGGATTCTTGCAGCCTGTTAAATTTGTCATTATGCTCTTCTCTAATCTTTTTAATTTCCTCTGTTGCGTGTTCTGCGTTTTGCTGAATTTCCTGAAGAGTTCTGTATATTAATCTTTTATATTCTGCCTCTAGTAATTCCAGTAAATTTTCCTCCTCTAGAAAATTTCTAGATTCTTTATTTTGGGAGCTTGCTGAAGCCATCATGGATTGCCTCTTTATGAGATTTTATACTGACTGTTGTTTCCAAGCCATCAGTAAGTTGTTATGTTTATTTATTTTATGTTCGCTTACTGTGTCCTAACTTCTTGTTTTGTTTTGAAATGCCCAAATAGGCTGCTCGTGTGAGCTAGTTTGATTATTTGCACCTTTGAAACGCTAATGTCCTGTCACCAGGTGGTTAGATCTGTTACTAGGTATGTGAGCTCAGGAGTCCGCCCATCCCTCCTGTATGGATTCAGCTCAGGTACCCAGGTAGATAGGCACCAAGTGTGTGGTGTAGGCTCTCACTTACAGTCCTAGACAGGCATGAGTGATTGGTGTAGGCACAGGCATCTGGCTGTAGCAGGGGGACACACTCTGAGCAAGGTAGGGGGCTGGTGGCCACCACCAAGTGTCCAGGAGGAAGGCATGTCCCTGTTCCCTAAGGCATGTAGGTGGCTGGGTTTTGCAGCTGGACTATGGGCATCTAATGCTGTTGGCTGTAAGGACTGGGGGGCACCTCTTTTATTCATGGGCCCCTATCGCAGGTGGCTTGGTGGCGTGGGTGAAGCCACCAGTCCTCAGGCCCCTGATGTGGATAGGTGGAGACCCTGTTTAATGGACAGAGCAGTGTCAAGTGTCAGGAACCTGCCACTTCACAGCTGAAACAGTTGACGTTAGAGTTCTGGTATATATACTGTCGTACTGCAGTAGGGAGGGCCTCTGCTACTGAGACGGGCTCACACAAGTCTATGCAGGGGGAAAGGCACTCAAAGTCCATGGATCCCTTATGCCTGTGCCTAGGCAAAGGAGATGTGCCTACCCTGGGTTCCTGGCTTAGGGGAGCTGGCAGTTTATTTTTTTTCCTGTTTGTTAATTTGTTCACTCTTCCAAGGTCAGGAGAATGGCTCTGGGCGTGTGACGGCTCCTACTTCTGGCCCAGGGGACTCGGCAATTGTTGAAGCCAGTCTGGGACCCAGTGCAGAGCAGGGAACGGGGAGGTAAATGGGAGAGAGGTTTTTCCCTAAGGGGAGTGTTTTTCATCCGCGCAGTAGGCCGCATGTAATTGGTTATCTTTCGCTGGTCAAGGGCTGCGTCTCACTGGTTCTGGGTGGCCGAGTAGACTCTCTGCCTCTGGGTCTCTCCTGGTGCGGAATATGCTTCCCAAACACAGCTGCTTGCCTGCCTCACTGCTCACCCCTGAGCTGCTCAGGCCTGAAGGGCTCAGGCTCTTGCTGGGTTAGGTCTGGCAACTCCTTACTGCTTCCAAACCATCTCTCCCTCCCCCTGCCACTCTGTCTGGTTCCTCAACTCTACCTTTGATGTTCAGGGCTCTCAGATTGTCTTATATAATTGAATCACTTGTTTTTTGGGGTCTTTGTTGTAAGAGGGTCCACCGGAAGCGTCTGACTACTCTGCCATCTTGGCCCCGCCCCCTCAAATTTTTATAATTATAATTTTTTAGAGTTTTCAGATCAGGATTTAAACGAAGTCCACATACATGCATGTGGCCGATACATCTCTAAGTCTCTTAATGTATAGAATTCTTACAGGTTTTTAATCTATAACATCTCCCCCCCCCCCTTTTTTTTTTTAATTTGTTGGGACTTAACATTTGCACAAGGTCTCTGGCTGCAGGGGCAGAAGCAGGAAGAGCAGCTAGCAGGGTTATTACTTGACCCAGTAAGGAGTGGGGAAGGTGATAGAAATAGCAGGTTCTGGTGTGTTCTGAAGGAAGAGCTGGCAGGTTTGCTGATAGGTTGACTTTGGATATGAGAGGTAGAAAGAACATTCTAGGACGAGTCCCTGGAAGGATGGACATGTGTTTTCTGAAGTGGGCAAGGCTTCAAAGAGAGGAGGCCAGAGGCGGTAATCACTCAAGGGTGGGCTGGGGGTACCCAGAGCAGACTCCTTCTAGAAAGGAGATGCAGGGATGGATTTTGCAGAATGAATAAGAGTTCACTAATGGTTGGGAGAAAGGGCTTGAGCAGCTGGCTGTCCCTCTGGCACTCTGCTCTGGGCATGTGGGCACAGGAGTTCTGCCTCGGCCTTTGCACAGACCCAGGCTGAGTTCTCATGTGCCCTGGCCCACAGCGGTTTTCATTTGGACTTGTTTTGTAATAATTCCTGGGATTCACAAAGAAACCCAAGGTGGGAGACATGAACTGACTGTGCCTTCTCCCTAGGTAAATACCACTGCCCTGTGCTGTTCACCGTGTTCACCAACAACACCCACATCGTGGCCATCAAAACGACTGGCAATGTCTATGCCTATGAGGTGGGTCTGGCCCAGAGTGTGGCACTTGTGTCAGCTGATAAGCTGCAATTCAGACATGAACCCTGAAAATTTCTCAAGCCCTCTGTGTGTGCACTGGGCTGGAGGCTGGGGTTGACAGCACAGGCACAGATGGCTTGATGCTCAGCTGAAGCTTCGCCTCATCCGGCTGTCACCTTTCAAACAGGAGAAGCAAAGGCTGCCACCCTGCAGGCTCCAGGTGGGAATTCAGCACTCTGACTGCTGGGTAGGGGCCCTGGTCCCAGGAGGGTTCTCCCCATAGTCCTCTTCAGCAAAGACACAAACCAAGCCCTGGAGAGGGATGCTGCTGAGGACAGCCCCTGGGCTGAGTAGAGAGCGCTGACCCCATGTGGAGCAAGTGCTGTCCCCCAGGAGGAGTGGACCTGGGCCTGGAATGTGAGCTGGTGCAGGGGGAGGGCAGTTGCACTTCCACACAGCACACTCCTGCCTGGGAGGGCAAGCAGGGACTGTGCAGGCACAGGGTCTAAGGGAAAACACGGAGGTGAGTGTGCACAGCAGAACGGCGGGCCCCTACATCTCAGGAAAGCCCTCTTTGTGCCCTTTTAATTCTGAGAACTGGACGTATTCAGGGTCCAGTTAGCCAGCACTGCTCTGGGACCACTTCTTGGCAGCAGCATCACAAGGGTTGGCTTAGTTTAGCCCCCCTGGCAGAGCGGGAGCTGCACTAGACTACGCTCCATGAGGAAGGCATCTCTGCTCCTTTGCCATATGTACCCATCCTGGCACCACGCCTGGTGCTCAAGAGCTGCTCCGTAAAGTTGGAAATGGTGACGAGGTGTCCTTCATGTGCCTGTTTGCTGATCTGTAAAATGTGCCTCCCAAGAGCTTCCCAGGAGAGTTTTGTGGGGCCACTGTTGTCAGTTCTTCTGAGAGGCCCATGGGGTGTGCACACATGCCTCGTCCTCTTCCTGTCCTCTCACATGGCTGCATAACAGGGCCAGCTCCCAGCCTCCCCACTTCCAGGCTGTTGTGCCGTAGTCTGGGGCGGCACCATAACCCAGGTCTCCTCCTGGCTATAGGCAGTGGAGCAGCTGAATATTAAGGCCAAGAACTTCCGGGACCTGCTGACCGATGAGCCCTTCTCCCGGCAGGACATCATCATCCTCCAGGTGTGTGTCCCTTCTATTGCAGTAGCTACTTCAGGGAGGATGACCCCTCCAAGCTCACTAGCTGCCCTGTGCTGGCTGCGCCCCACCGTCTGCTCTCAGTCACACTGGGCTTCTGTATGGCTGCTTCCTCCCATCTGGCCCACACCTGCTTCTCCTCAGACACCCTCACCCTAGCTGTGTCAGGGCCATCTCCGCCTAGAGCCTCCTCGGGGTGTTGTAATGGCCATTTGGCGGGCCTGGCCCTCCTCTGGCCTCCTTGGCAGGGGCTGGGGCGCCCTCTGTGCCCTGCATTTGGCCCAGGGTGAGCTTGTTGGGTGTCTTTTGACCATGAGTGAGTTAACCGAGGAGCACTGACTTAGGAACTCGGGCATCTGGAGGAGTGTTGGCTGGGCCGCCAGGATGGACGAGGGCCAGTGCACAGAGATGCCTAGGAGCTACAGTCCCTTCTGTGGCTCATCCTGTTCTGGTTGGCGGTCAGTCCAGGTTCTTTGCCATGGCCCTGGAATAAAGTGGGTTTACCACCCTGAGGGCCCGTGACACCTGCTGGGGTCTCTGCTTCCAGCAGCCCAGGGAGGAGGGAACGTAGGGTGTTGTGCAGGAGGCTTGGAGGTGGGGATCCATATCTACCCACTTGCCCTCAACTAAAACCCAGTTCATCCTGTGGCTACCTAACAGCAAGGGGAGCTAGTCAGCTGTGTTCCAGGAGGACACAGTTTGAGGAGCAGCTAGTAGGTGCCACCGCCTCCACCTGACCCCACCTGTCCTTCCACCACCTGCCCAGGACAGAGCCCTGCATCTGGCTCTTGGCACCCCTTTCCCCGCAAGGGAAGCCTCAGGGCAGCAGCCAGCCTCCTCTTCCCCCTTCGCCTGCCAGTATTTTGCCACCTGTGCTGGGGTCTGGCCCTCCTCCTACCCAAGCTTTGCCACCTATGCTGGGGTCTGGCCAGCAGGGGCTGCAGCAAGCAGATGCAGGGCTCACTCTGCTGTGTGTTTCCTCTCTGCTGTAGGATCCCACCAATTTGGACAAATTTAACGTCTCCAACTTCTTTCACGTGAAGAACAACATGAAAATGACAGACCCCGGTACGTATAGATTGGAGCTGAGCTGGGTGACAGGTTTGACCCTGGTGGCCAGAGCACTGAGGGCCCCATCAGGCTTGGATGGCCCCAGCTTTGCAGAATGGGATTCAGCTCTCATTGCTGAAGTTGGCTGGGTTGCCCTGGCTAAACCTTCCTGTCAGGGGGTCTGACATGACATGGGGCAGCTAGTCCTCACAGGGCCAGAGGGACCTAGCGGGTGGGGTATGTGAAGCCCTCAGCACCAAGCAGGATGCATACCTCTCCTGAGTGGGCAGGGGTGGGCATTCTGCATCTGGGAAGACCCCAGCCACTTATCATTTTAAATGAGAATGACTCTTCAAGTTACAAAAGCAAAGCATACTGTAGAAAGATTGAAACACACAGATAAATACAAATAGAAAATACAGGTCACCCCCACTCCCACCCCATGCAGCCTCGAGTACCTGCCCTCCGCAGCTGCGGCGGGTGAGGTCTCTACAGCAGGAGTACAGCTGTGAGGGGCCCTCCCGGGGCAGGGCAGCCCCCGGTAGCCCACCCACGTGTCAGCTGTTGGATTGGCTCTGGCCTTCTGTCCCTGTCACATGCCTCTGGGTGAGTTCCTTGGGGATCGGCTGCTCAGGGCCACTCTGCGCTCCTTTGTAGATGAAGAAAAGGCCAAACAGGACCCATCTTACTACCTGAAAAACACGAACGCAGAGACCCGGGAGACCCTGCAGGAGCTCTACAAGGAGTTCAAAGGGGATGAGGTTCTGGCGGCCACCATGAAGGCCCCTGAGAAGAAGAAAGTGGACAAGCTGAATGCCGTGAGTCGGCCGAGGAGCCTCAGGAGTGGGGTGCTGGGGAGGTGATCAGGGAAGCCTTCCTGGAGGAGGCACCGAGCCCTCCTGAGCATCAGGAACAGCATGCGCTGAGGGGCTGGACACCCTCCTGGGGGCTGGCTCCTGGGTTGCTGATTTGCAGTTGGGCTATCTCTGCAGGCTCACTATTCCACTGGGAAGGTCAGTGCTTCCTTCACCTCCACCGCCATGGCTCCGGAGACGACACATGAAGCAGGTAGCTGCCCTGTGCTCTGCAGAATCCCTGGCTGTGCAATGTAGCAGGGCGTGAGAGCAGAGGGCAAGCACTTTCCTCCTTCCCCAGCACCTGCTGTCATGCCAGCTGGCACCCCACGGTGGCCATGCCTCTTTGAACATGGGCTTTCTATCTGGGGAGGCCTGGAGCCAGGAAGCCCTCTCCCTGTTTTGTTCTGCCTGTGGGGGCCTCCCTGACACAGGCTCCAGCCTAGGCCTCTCGGGGCCCCTACCTTGAGTTCGCATCACTGCACATGATCTGCCCAGGCGGCCCTTGGCCTCATCCCCAAGCACCCTTCTTCCTGTGTTCCTTGTTGTCTGAGCTCTAAGCCCTCCTACCCCTACATCCCCTCCACCCCCATTTCTAGGCTTTCCCAGAAGCCACTTTACCTGCTGAGCCCACTGTGCGCATGGGTTCTCCCTGTCATGCCCCATGCTGCCCACCTGAGCCAGGGCCAGGCGGACCCTTGTGCTCCCACCCTGGGCTCTCCCCAAGCTGGACCCCTTCCCAGGCTAGATGCCAGCCAGTTCCGAACTTGTTTGTCAGAGGCCTGGACCCCGGGCCATGTGGTGGGGCTTCCCAAGGGTGACAAGCGGCTGGGGGAGCTTAGGTCCTCCGTTTGTAGCTGCCGTCGATGAAGATGTCCTGCGCCACCAGTTTGTAAAGAAGAAGGGCTACGTGCGGCTCCACACCAACAGAGGCGACCTCAACCTGGAGCTGCACTGCGACCTGGTGAGTGTGAGGCTGGCCTGGCGGGGCTGGGTAGGCCGGGTGCCCCAGGGAGGGCAAGCCACGGCCCACTCCTGCCTACTCTGAGGGCTCTCTGTGGTCATCTGGCAGCCACATTGTCAGTATGGAGCTGAAGTGTGTGCTTGTAGAACATTCTGCCTGTCTAGATCAGGAAAGTGTGCTGGCCTCCCCTGACCCCCAGCAGCCCTGTTTGTAGTTTGGGGCATTTCCTGTGGACCTTTCCTGGGTAGGTGCACGCACACAGTGTGTAGTCCTGTGGCTGCACTCTGGTGCCTCCTCCCAGTGCTCCACGTGCTCCTTTGTTGTTGAGCTCCTGCCCATCTTTGTCTGGTGGGACTGGCCAAGGTCTGGGCTCTGAGGGCTGTCAGTGACCGTCTTCGGCCTCGTGATGAGGGCCAGGTGACACTTGGAGCCTCTCTCCGACTGCTGCGTGCCTCACAGCAGCATCTGGGCTGTTTTGCAGACGCCAAAGACCTGTGAAAACTTCATCAGGCTCTGCAAGAAGCACTACTACGATGGCACCATCTTCCACAGGTCCATCAGGAACTTTGTGGTGAGTGGTGCAGGTCGGCATGGCTGCAGACATGCTCGGGGCATAGAGTGAGCTGGGCTGGCTCTTCCCCACCCCCTCCAGGGGCACCCGGGCCAGGCCACTCTGCCAGGGCAAGGCCTGGAGGTCTGCTCAGCGAGGTGCCTAGGAGGGGCCTGTCCTCACCAAGAGCACGTTGGGCCTGTTGGACATGTAGGACACTGGTTCAGTCAAACCAGGAGGTGGCATGAATGCAGATGCCATGGCTGAGGGGTGGGCAGCCTTGAGGGGTGGGGTGCTGGGTGGTGGGTAGCCCTGAGGGGCGGGGGTGCTGAGCGGTTAGTGGTTTCTGGGGTGGGGGTTCGGCAGCTGGAAGCCCCCAGGAAGGGAGTGGAGAGCGGGGTTTGCCTTGTCGAGGGGCAGCCCCAGGGCGTAATGGGGGGTCAGGTGTCTCTGTGGCAGGTGGAGCTTGCTCACTGGCGTTTGTTCTTCCCACAGATCCAAGGGGGCGACCCCACTGGCACTGGCACGGGTAGGTCTTGGTGTTGACCCTCCTCCCTGGGCAACTCTGGCTGCTCCATCCAGCACAGGGGAGCAGGGCGAGGTGTACAGTGCAACCTTGGTATGGAATGGATCAGAGTCAGACACAGCCTAGCCACGAGCTGAGCCCCTAGGCACAACCCCCAGGCCTCTCATGTAGCACAGGGGGTTGAGGAGGGGGGATGGGGTATGTCAGTGGTCTACTCCACAGAGGTCAGGTCCCTTCAGTCCAGGTCCTTCCCCATCAGTGGCTGTGCAGGCGGAGCGGGCATGGTTCTAGGAAGGCAATGCGTGTGGACCCTGAGCCAGTCTGGCCTACCAGGCCCACCCCAGCTGTACTCCTGTAGGGCTTGGGTGCCAGGGTCCCCCCAGGCCTACAAGCTCTTGCCAGGAATGCCTGAAGAACTCCAGTATCCTGCTGCCGTCTAAATGCCGGCCCCCAGGTGAGGTGCGTGGATGCATGCCGTGTGACAGAGGAGGAGCCTGAGGCCCAGGGAGAGGCAGGGCCCTGTCTGTAGCCAACCAGCTGACAGCAGAGGAGCCAGGCTGCAGGGCAGCCACAGGGCTGCCACCACCATCCAGGGCACAGTACCACCCGACGGGGCTCAAGGGAGCCAACCAGGGAGGCTAGACCCCAAAGCCAGACCCTGCTGGTCCCCCATGGCTTCCCAAAGCCCACCTCAGCTTGTCAGCTGCTTGGCCCAGGCCCATTCCTGTGCCCCCATGTGAGTGATAATGCCCTGCGGCTGTGACCCTTTTAAGTCCTGTCCTCAGGGCTGGTCCCCACACAAGGATGCTCCCCCACACGGGCTGAGGGGGTTTGTGACAGGGTGCCACGGGCACTGGAGGCCCTCCAAGTGCTCTTGCCCGTGCTTGCCTAGCTGATGCCTGGTGCTCCATGGGGCTAAGCACAGAGTTCTGGAGCTGTGCTGCCTCCTGTGGGTCTGATCTCCACTAGGGACTCGATCATTCTCCCCCGCCCCCCGAGTTCCCTGGGGACAGGTGCCAATGTTAAACAGAATTCTAGGAAACCAAAAGCCATGTGTTTGGAATGTGACAGAAGCATGTGGGCTGCTCTTGAGCTCCCTCCTTCTTAGCTCTACTGTTTCTTAAGCCCTTACAAGGGAGGTGCTCTTAAGACAAATGTAAAGTTTCTTAAAAACGCTAAAAAATGAACAAATTCCCAAAAAGCACTGAAATGGACATGAGCCATTTCCGTTTAGGGATGAGCCAGTCATCTGAAGGGAACTTGTTAAGGGGGCAGCTGGCAGGCAGGTGGTGGGCTGGGCACAGTGAGCTTGCCCGCTGTTCTAGTTATCTGGTGCTGCTATAACAGAAATACCACAGTGGGTGGCTTTGACAAACAGAAATTTATTTTGTCACAGTTTAGGAGGCCAAAAGTGCTGGGTCTGGGAGAATGCTTTCTGTCTCTGTCAGCTCTGGGGGAAGGTCCTTGTCTCTTCAGCTTCTGCTTCCTGGTTCCTTAGAGATCTCCATGTGGCTTGGCGTCTGTCTTCCCCCATCTCTGCCTCCTCTGCTTGCTTGTTTTAACCTTTTTTATATGTCAAAAGATAATTGACTTAAAACACACCCTGCACTCATCCTGTCTCAGTAACATAACAAAGACAACCCATTCCCAAATGGGGCATAACCACAGGCATAAAACCAAAAACCAAACCCATTGCTGTCGACTCCTAGCAACCCTACAGAACAGAGTAGAACTGCCCCATGGAGTTTCCAAGGAGCACGTGGTGGATTCAAACTCCTGACCTTTTGGTTAGCAGACGTAGCTCTTAACCACTATGCCACCAGGGTTGGGTTAGGATTGACGACACAGATTTTTGAGAGACGCGATTCAATCCATAACACCTGCCCCCCTTGCAGCATGCCTGGCATGAGGTGGACACCCAGCCTGTGGAGGGGTTGCCTGAGAAGGCCTTCCAAGAGGCCCCCTCTTCGTGTCTTCGGGGATGCCTGGTGCCAACCTGCTGCGTTTTTTTTCCAGGTGGAGAGTCATTCTGGGGAAAGCCTTTCAAAGACGAGTTCCGGCCCAACCTCTCACACACGGGCCGGGGCATCCTTAGCATGGCCAACTCGGGGCCCAACAGCAACAAGTCTCAGTTGTGAGTGGCACGGTGGGCTAGTGGGCGGGGTGGGGAGGGTGGTCCCAAGGCCCTGCAGCTCTGCCCTAGAGGTTGTGCTCCTCTTGAGTCAAATTTAGAACGCGTGCAGCATACCCAGGAAGACTCCCACACGCTCGTGACACACCCAGATGCTGCCACGTGTGCTGAGCATGTGCACCTGCGTTTGAAAGGGGGACCCCAGAATAGTCCACAGACAGTACTATGCATTGTGATGTGTGCTTATGAAAGAATAACCAAAAAAACCAGTTGCTGTAGAGCTGACTCCAGTTCACGGCGACCTCATGTGTGTCAGGAGTAGAACTGTGCTCCATAGAGTTTTTGGTGGCTGATTTTTCAGAAGTTAATTGCCAAGCCTTTCTTCTAAAGTGTCTCTGGGTGGACTTGAACCTCCAACCTCCTGCTTGGCAGCCAAGTGCATTCACCATTTGCACCACCCAGGGACGCCTATGAAAAACTAAAATCCCGTTGCCGTTGAGTAGATTCTGACTCACAGTGACTGTATGTCGGAGTAGAACTGCCCCGTACGGTTTCCAAGACTGTAATCTTTATGGAAGCAGACTGCCACATCTTTCTCCTGCAAAGCAGCTGGTGGGTTCGAACCACCAACCTTTTGGTTAGCGGCGGAGCGCTTAACCACTGTGCCACCAGGACTCCTTATGAAAGACCAAAGTCAGTAATTACTAGGGAGATTCACAGAGGCTTCTTGGAGAAGGTGGCTGATGTGTGTGTATGGGGGAGGAGACCACACACGGAGAGTTTCACGTTTCACACACTGAACGTAGTAGACCCATGTTATGGGAGGTTGTGTGCTGGGGGCAGACTGGCAGGAGAGGGTGCCAGCGGGGGTGCTGTGGAAAAGGTCTCGATTTTATTCTTAGTGCCTAAATACAGAAGGGCTTCAAGGGAAAAGACGAGTGTTTTCAAAGAATTGTGTTCTCAGAGGCTCTAGCTGCTGCGTGGAGTGGATGTGTAGACGGGGGTGGCAGGGGCAGATGGTGGAGGTGGGGTGGGGGGATGGCAGGACAGGCGGTGGTGCTCGGGTTGAGTGAGGGCAGGCAGGTGGGAGGCGTGGGCAGCTTCAACCTGTGGACAGTTGACTGTGGGGGCAGGGCCAGGGTCAGCCGGCTGGGTGTGGTGCCATTTATGGAGATGGGAAGACTGGGGAAGAGGGGACCAAAGCTTTTTTTTTAATAGTGTCTTCCGTGAAACTTTACATGGCAAATTAGGTTCTCATTTTACAATTTCTACACAAATTGTCCAGTGATATTACATTTTTCACAATGTGTCATCTTTAATTGCGTTCTGGTTGTTCCATTTCTAGTACTCTAGTTTCACCGCCCTCTTATCTTCTCATCTTTGCTTTAGAGTAATTGTTGGCCATTTGATCTCATATAGATGGTTTTTTAATGGAACACTGTACTCATGGATAATACCCTTTACTGTGTGTGCCAATCTGTTATTTCGCTAAAAGGTGACCTGAGGGGTTAGTTTCAGTTCAGAGTTTAAAAGAGTATCTCAGGACAATAGTCTCAGGGAGTCCTCTAGTCTCAACTGGTCCAGTTAGTCTGGACTTTTTAAGAATTTGAGTTCTTGTCCGCGTTTTTCTCCTGTTCTGATGGAGTCCATCTGTTGTGGCCCTGATCAGAACGGTTGGTAGTGGTAGCCAGGCACCATCTAGTTCTTCTGGCCTCAGTAGAAGAGGCTGTTGCTTATATAGGCTATTAGCCCTATAGACTAGTTTCTTCACTGAGACTTTGGTTTCCTTCTTACTTTTTCACTTCTGACGAATAGGTACCAATAATTGTATCTTAGACAGCTGCTGTCTTAGGTATCTAGTGCTGCTATAACAGAAATACCACAAGTGGGTGGCTTTAACGAAGAGAAATTTATTCTCTCACAGCCTAGTAGGCTACAAGTCTGAATTCAGGGCATCAGTTCCAGGGGAAGGCTTTCTTTCTTTGTCAGCTCTGGAGGAAGGTCCTTGTCATCAGTCTTCCTCTGGTCTAGGAGCTTCTCTGCACAGGAACCTTGGGTCCAAAGGACATGCTTTGCTTCTGGCGCTGCTTTCTTGGTGATATGAGATCCCCCTGTCTCTCTGCTCACTTCTTTCTTTTATATCTCAAAAGAGATTGGCTTAAAACATAATCTAATCTTGTAGATTGAGTCTTGCCTCATTAACATAACTGCCGCTAATCCCATCTCATCACATCACAGAGTTGGGATTTACAACATACAGGAAAATCACATCAGATGACAAAACGGTGGACAGTTCACACAGTACTGGGAATCACGGCCTAGCCAAGTTGACAGGTATTTTTGGGGGACACAATTCAATCTATGACAGCTGCTCACATGCTTTTAAGATCCCAGACACTACTTACCAAACTAGAATGCAGAACATGAATTTTGTGGTGCCAGTCAACTGAGTTGTCCCATGAGAATAATTTCCTAAGCTCTAAAACCCAGAAAACCAGTCTCTCAACATGTTTGGTTACCAAGAACTCTGTCTTGAACACTGACCTGTCAGGAGCTGTGAAACATCCACCTAGAGCTGTCCCAGTGGGTGGATGTTCTGACCTAGGAGAGTGAGGATGGGCTCAAAGCAAAGATCTGAGCGTCCCTGGTGTCCAGGGGCCATGCAGCCCCCAAGACAGGGCATGGGGGGAGAGTGCAGGACAGGCTGGCTGAGGAGGGGCAGTATTCTTGGGTCTGAGAGGCTGCGGGAGGGGAGAGTATTTCCTGAAGCGGCAAGGGCGGAACATGACGCATGCGAGGATCAGGGAAGGAAGATGGGCTTGGGCAACTTGTAGGTGTTGTTGACGGCACTGAGAACAGTTTTGGGGACAGTGGGATCAAGGGGATGAAGGTGTCCTTGGAGAGGGTCTTGTGGTTCATGGGAGGGTCTTGCTTATTTTTAAGATGCTGTGGGCCCCGGGACAAGTTTCTTTGCTGCTGTAAGGCAGTAGGTTAACGGAGACATGAACCAAGGAGGAAAGTTTGGGAAAGAGGAGTGGGTGGGGCCCAGGATGTCCAAGATGGAGGTTTAGGGGAAGATGAGAGGCAGCAATTGGGAGTAAGGCTGAGGCAGCGTGAGCAGGTTTGAGGATAAAGAAGTGGAGTCTGATGGAGGTGGTGCCAGCATCCTGGAATGTCCACTTGCATTGTGCAGCCCCCTCCCCGCCGCAGCACCCTCTGTCTCTCGAAGGTTTTGTGGGAAGCTATGGCAGGCTCCCCCAGGGCTGGAGTGTGCCTGGTATCTGTGTGAGCACAACAGTTTGTACATTTTATGTTTGATGGACATCATTCTAGTCTTTAACTGTGATGAATAGTGCTTGTGTCTGAGAACAGATCCAAAGGTTAAACATGTAGGAGATTTACTGGGGGCAACGCCTGTGGAGGTGAGGGGGAGGGAACAGGAGTGGGTGACGATGCCTTCAGACCACAGTGCAGGGCTGACCCCGGGAGAGGAGAACGGGAGGAGAAAGGCTCAGCCAGGCCCAGCCAGGAGGAAGCCCCACGGACAGGAATAGCCTGTCCCACCTTACTGCATTGGTTACAGCTGTGAGGGGAGCATGGCCTGCATGTCCACCGGGTGGGCAGGGAGCACATGTGAGCTGGCTGCCCCAGCACCACTGTCCTCCCGGCCGTGGGCGGTTTGTGAGGAGGAGTGTTGGTCCTGAGGGCACTTAAGATTTTCTAGTGTCCAGCCCTCCTGTGTGCTGTAGCGTCAGACAGTGCACTGCAGCTAACCTCTGTTACGGTACATTTTTGTAAATTCACTAGGTTTGGTTTGTTAAGCACTTTTATTTAAGAGTTAGGTGTCTGTTCATAAGTGAAATGGGCCTCTCTTTTCTTTCTTATATTCTCCGTGTATGGTTTTGATATCACATTATATTAGCAGTGTGGGGTGATTTCTTTTTTGAACGTATGATAGAACTCACCTATAAAATCTTCTGTTTGGTGGAGGTATGTATGTGCGGGCAGATTAACTACTATCCTCATGATTTTCGGTCTAGTCAAGTTTTCTGTTTTTTTCTCGGTCAGCCTTAGTACATTTCTCCTCTATGATCTTATCTGTTCCATTTTCTTTTTATTAAGCGGTTTGTTTTTTGTTTTTTAGAGTTTTGTTTTTAAGAATATAATGAGTGACAGATGGCAGTTACATGAAACAATCTGAACAAAGGTGCTTGTAAACATAAACAAAAACATTTTTCGCATAGGTAAAACTGTTGATGTCATATCCAAATCATATGGCCCACAGTTTCATTAAGATTACTGGATTTTCTATACTAGAGGATGAACATGTGACCTTTCTGTCCCAGCTTCCCCTGTTCTTTTTTTCTTTTTAATTATTTTTTTTATTGTGGTTTAAATGAAAGTTTACAGTTTAGGTTAGTCTCTCATACAAAAATTTATACACACACCGCTATGTGACCCTAGTTGCTCTCCCCATACTGTGACAGCACACTCCTCCCTTCCACCCCAGATTTCCTGTGTCTGTTCAACCAGCTCCTGTCCCTTTCTGCCTTCTCATCTCACCTCTGGAGAGGAGCTGCCCATTTAGACTCGTGTTATTTACTTGAGCTAAGAAGCACACTCTTCATGAGTATCATTTTATGTCTTATAGTCCAGTCTAATCTTTGTCTGAAGAGTTGGCTTCGGGAATGGTTTTAGTTTTGGGGTAACAGAGTCTGGGGGCCATGTCTTCCAGGGTCCCTCCAGTCTCAGACTATTAAGTCTGGTGTTTTTACTAGAATTTGAGTTCTGCACCCCACTTTCCTCCTGCTCTGTCAGGGACTCTATGTTGTCTTCCCTGTCAGTAAGGTCATTGGTGGTAGCCGGGCACCATCTAGTTCTTCTGGTCTCAGGCTGATGGAGTCTCTGGTTTATGCGGCCCTTTTCTCTTGGGCTAATATTTTCCTTGTCTTTGGTGTTCTTCATTCTCGTTTGCTCCAGGTAGGTTGGGACCAACTGATGCATCTTAGATAGCTGCTCACTAGCTTTTAAGACTCCAGATGCCACTCACGAAAGTAGGATGCAGAACATTTTCTTAATAAACTTTGTTATGCCAGTTGACCTAGATGTCCTCTGAAACCACGGTCCCCAGACGCTCACCCCTGCTACTCTGTCCCGCGAAGTGTTTGGTTGTGTCTTAGCTTTTGGTTTAGTCCAGTTGTGCTGACTTCCCCTGTAATGTGTGTTGTCCTTCCCTTCACCTAAGATAATTCTTGTCTACTGTCTAGTTAGTGAATACCCCTCTCCCTCCCTCCCCACTCTCGTAACCATCTTGAGTTCTTATAATTGTGGTCTTATGCAATACTTGTCCTTTTGCGACTGACTAAATTCACTCAGCATAATGCCTTCCAGATTCATCCCCGTTATGAGATGTTTCACGGATTCATCGTTATTCTTTATCATTGCATAGTATTCCATTATGTGACTATACCATAATCTGTTTATCCATTTGTCCGTTGATGGGCACCTAGGTTGTTTCCATCTTTTTGCTGTTGTGAACAGTGCTGCAGTGAACATTGGTGTGCATATATCTATTTGTGTGACGGCTCTTATTTCTCTAGGATATACTCCAAGGAGTAGGATTGCTGAATCTTATGGTACTTGTATTTCTAGATTTTAAGGAAGTGCCAAATCAATTTCCAAAGTGGTTGTACCATTTTACATTCCCACCAACAGTGTATAAGTGTTCTAGTCTCTCCACAACCTCTCCAACATTATTATTTTGTGTTTTCTGGATTAATGCTAGCCTTGTTCGGGTGAGATGGTATCTCATTGTAGTTTTGATTTGCATTTCTCTAATGGCTAATGATTGTGAGCATTTCCTCATGTATCTGGTAGCCACCTGAATATCTTCTTTGGTGAAGTGCTTGTTCATATCCTTTGCCCATTTTTTAACTGGGTTATTTGTCTTTTTGTTGTTGACGTTTTGCAGTATCTTGTAGATTTTAGAGAGAAAACCCTGATCTGGTATGTTGTAGCCAAAAAATTTTTTCCCAGTCTGTAGGTTGTCTTTTTACCCTTTTGGTGAAGTCTTTTGATGAGCATAAGTGTTTGATTTTTAGGAGCTATCTAGTTTCTAGTTATCTAGTTTCTCTTCTGGTGTTTGTGCATTGTTAGTAATGTTTTGTACTCTGTTTATGCCATATATTAGGGCTCTTAGCATTGTCCCTATTTTTTCTTCTATGATCGTTATCGTTTTAGATTTTATATTTAGGTCTTTGATCCATTTTGAGTCAGTTTTTGTGCATGGTGTGAGGTATGGGTCTTGTTTCAATTTTTTACAGATGGATATCCAGTTATGCCAGCACCATTTGTTAAAGAGACTGTCTTTTCCCCATTTAACGGACTTTGGGCCTTTGTCAAATATCAGCTGCTCATAGGTTGATGAATTCATGTCTGGATTCTCAATGCTGTTCCATTGATCTATGTATCTGTTGTTGTACCAGTACCAGGCTGTTCTGACTACTGTGGCAGTAGAATAGGTTCTAAAATCAGGTAGTGTGAGGCCTCCGACTTTTTTCTCCTTCAGTACTGCGTTACTTATCCAGGGCCTCTTCCCTTTCCAAATGAAGTTGGTGATTTGTTTCTCTATCTCATTAAAAAATGCTGTTGAAATTTGGATTGGGATTGCATTGTATCTGTGGATCGCTTTGGGTAGAATTGACATTTTCACAATGTTGAGTCTTCCTACCCATGAGCAAGGTATATTTTTCCACTTATGTAGGTCTCTTTCAGTTTCTTGCAGTAATGTCTTGTAGTTTTCTTTGTATAGGTCTTTTCCGTCTCTGGTTAGATTTATTCTTAAGTATTTTATGTTCTTGGGAGGTATTGTAAATGGTATTGATTTGGTGATTTCCTGTTCGAAGTTCTCTTTGTTGTAGAGGAATCCAGCTGAGTTTTGTATGTTTATCTTGTATCCTGATACTTTGCTAAAATCTATTAGTTCCAGTAGTTTTCTTGTGGATTCTTTGGAGTTTTCTGTGGATAAGATCATATCATCTGCAAATAGCAATACTTTTACTTCTTCCCTACCAATTTGGATGCCCTTAATTTCTCTTTCTAGCCTAGTTGCTCTGGCTAGGACCTCTAGCACAATGTTGAGTAAGAGTGGTGATAAAGGGCATCCGGTTTGTATTTTTTTAAGACTACGTAGATTAGTTATCTGTGTTCCAAATATTGAAATTTAATTGGAAAGATGCCATATACTATTTTTTAAATATTATGTATTAAAATATATCTAATAGTTTGAGTTTTCAGTTGTATTTAAGAATCTTCCCCTACCTTGATTGTACATGTGGTCTCCTGGAATTTTTGGAAGATCTAGATTTCTGTATTACATGTTTATCCATTATTTTTGCATATGATGTAAGCAAAGCGTTTTTATTTTCTTCCAGATGGATAGCCATTTGTGCTATCATCACTTACAGAATAAGCCATTTTTTTCTTCATTGAATTTTGGCCTTGCCATTGACTAACACAAGTTATCAGATTGTGGAATCAGAGGGCTTTCCGTGGTCGAGCATTAACACAGGTGGGGGCGCTGGCCCCCTTCCACATGGCCATGTGCTTTCTGACTAGTTAGGACTCAGCAGGCACAGGCACAGGTGAGGGGCGCCAGCTTCTCCTCCCATGGCCATGTGCTCTCTGACCAGTTAGGACCCAGTGGGCATAGGCACAGGTGAGGAGCGCTGCTCCCCCCCAACCCATGGCCGCCCCCACCCATGGCCGTGTACTCTGACCAGTTAGGACCCAGCAGGCACAGGCACAGGTGAGGGTTGCCAGCTCCCCCATCACATGGCCATGTGCTGTCTGTCCCAGAGTGATGGGTGATGTGTGCAGACCGCCTCCCAAAGCGGAGAGCTTTATTCTATACCCCACATGGTCACCTGTCTTGGGGGACAGTTTGCAGGATTTTTCCCCCGTTTCCAGTTCTAGGTGGTTATTGCTTGCATCATTTAGCCCATTATCAAATTCTCTTATAATTCAAACAGCTTTTATTAGAGTTCCTTGGTTTTCTAGATAGTGCAGCTCATCAGTGAGATGGCATTGTCTCCTCTTTTCTCGTGCTCCACCATCACATCCTGGGGCCACATTGGGTCACAGGAGGTGGCATCCTGCTGCTGTCTGAGGAAGTACTACTTTGCTACCTGAAAACATTTGTTGTTGGGCCTGTTTTTTTAGGAGAAGTTGCTGGGTTTTCAGATGCTTTTTTAGCATCTGTCAGTGTGAATGTCTGCTTTTTCCTCCCTTGGATTTGTGTATGTAGCCACTGGATTGACTACATTTTCTGGTTTTGTAGCACAGTGGGCTTCCTGGACTGACCCCTGGTGGGTCACTCCTGCACAGCTGGGTTCTTGCTCTGGTTTTTAAAATCCAGCCACTGTCTTCATATGGAAGCTGGGTCTTAGTGTTTGTGCTAGCTTTATTCAGTTTTAGAGTTATGCTGCCTGCATGCAGTGATTGGGGGCTGGTCATCTTTGTCTTCAGATGATGGGGGAGAGTTTAAATTACGCTGGCGCTAATTGCTTGTTGAAACTTAGAGAGAACTCAGCCTAGAAGCCCTCTCTGGTCCAGGACAGCTCTCGTCTCCTGTCAGTCTTTCATGATGATTCTTTAGTCAAGGGTTCACTTAGTTCAGCTGGATAATTTTTATTTTGCCAGAATTTGATCCACTCATCTCCAGGCTTTTCCTGTTTCCTGCAGCCTGTGCCAGACAAGCTTGGGTGATCAGCTGCTGCCCCCGGGCTCTGGGCATGGGGTACAGCTGGCAGGGTGGGCTGCGGCCAGGGGAGGGAGGGCCTAGACACACAGCACCTCCCATTGCTTGCTTCCCTTGGGGCCACGCTAATCTTTCTCCTGGCACACTGAGGCCTGGGGTACCTGGCAGCCTTGGCTGGTGGCCTGCCCTGGGCAGAGCAGGGGCTGGAAGCCACACACACAAGCATCCCCCTGCATAAGCTCTGGGTTCTAGAGTGAGCTCTGGGCTGTGGGAGGACCCAGGCAGGCTGGTCAGGGTCCCATGTACTTCCTCACCCTGTCGCCTCCTCTCCTCAGCTTCATCACCTTCCGCTCCTGTGCCTACCTGGACAAGAAGCACACCATCTTCGGACGGTAAGAGAAGCTGCATGGTGCCTGGACCATCAGCAGGGCAGCAGCTTGGAGGGCCTTCTCCCTGGCGGCTCTCCCCACTGCCTTCCCGAGTGGAGCCTCATGCCCATTCTGTCCTAGTTATTGTCACTTTGTATGAAGGCTGTAGCTGTGGCAGTAGGAGTTTGGGGCATCTGCTAGGGGGAGGCTGGTTCTCCGAGACTCAGGTCCAGCCCTTTTTGGCCAATTGCTCTTGGTGGCCAGCCTTCCTTCTCCCCTGGGCCCTCTTTCTGATGGTACTACACCCTGTATTTTTCTTCTAGTCCAGGGATTAGCAGAATTTTTCTGTAAAGGGCCAGATGGGCCCTCTGGTCACTGTCACAGCTACTTAACTCTGCTGTTATAGCATGGAAGCAGCCAGATGGCGTGTAAACAAATGGGGGTGGCTTTGTACAGATAAAACTATTTACAAAAACACGGGAGACTTGGCCTGTGGGCCCCAGCTTGCTGGCTCCTCCTCTCCCTGCTCACAGCCCAGCTGCTGACGGTGGGGCTGTCATGCCACCCTGTCCCAGCCCAGCCCTGCCCGTCCGACTTTGTCACCCATGTGAGGCGCCTCTTCCTGGAATGCCTTGGGAACTGGTCTGGGGGTGCCTGATGAGACCTGCCTCCTCCCTCCTGCAGGGTCGTTGGGGGCTTCGACACACTGACAGCCATGGAGAACGTGGAGAGTGACCCCAAAACTGACCGCCCTAAGGTATGTGCTTGGGGAGGACCAAGGGGCCGTCCTGTTCCCTCCTGGCTGCAGCCTCGGGCCTGCGCCCCTGAGGGAGGAGGTGGAGGAGCCTTGGCCCTGACCACTCCCCTCTCCCTCCCCTCACTCTGTCACCAGGAAGAGATCCACATCGAGTCCACCACAGTGTTCGTAGACCCCTATGAGGAGGCTGACGCTCAGGTGAGGGGTGCAGGGCTGCCACTTTTGGGGGGAGCATGGGTGAGTCCTCCTCATGGGTGGGCACACATACCTGTGAGTCCAGGTTCTGTATGAGGAGGTACTGTCCAGTCCTGGTGCCCTGACCCAGCCATGCCCTGCTCGCCACAGATTGCTGAAGAGCGCAAGAAGACACAGCTGAAAGAGGAGGCCCTGGAGACCACCGTGAAGACGAACCAGCCCCAGCTGGGGAGCCCAGGCCCCCAAGCTTACCGCCAGGGGGTGGGCAAGTACATCAGCCCTGCAGCCACGTGAGTGGGTCTGGGGACCAGTGTCTTGGGTGTATCCTTCCACCAGTGTTCCCGATACCCCCAAGTCTGACCCAGTCAGTGGGGAGGAAGCAGCATCAGGTCTGAGCTTGGTGTCAGGGTCACCGCAGGCAAGTCTCACCTCAGGCAGGCAGGCTCAACACAGGTGGGCTCACTGTAGGCAGGGGTGTTGCACCATGGAGGTCTGTGTGGAGGTGAGGAGGCAGGTGAGCTTGGGAAGCAGGAGCAGGGCTGAATGGGGTGTGCAGGTGAGTCTGTGTGTGGACACATACCGTGCCCGCTGCCTCCAAGGGGGCCGAGTGAGGGGGCCAGAGGGATGGATGTGGTGTCCAGCTTGGGGCTTGGGAACCTGGATGGCAGTCTGGCTCTTGTCCTTACAGGAAACGAGCAGCAGAGGAAGAGCCATCCACTAGCACTGCCACCCCCACAGCTAAGAAGAGGCCCAGCCGAGGTTTTGGAGACTTCAGCTCCTGGTAGCCAACCCAGAGCTCCTGCATTCTGAAGGCTGCCTTCCCACAGAGATGCAATAAAGCTTTTGCCTATTGCCTGTATCCCCTCTGCTGAGAGCCACTCAGGCCCCAGGAGCCCAGCCTCCCCACCCCCCACCCGTGCAGACTGCTGGCTGTCTCTCATCGGCAGGCATAGACCCTCACCTGGCAGGGGTGGGGGCCAGTTTTCTTCCCATCCTGTTGTCATCTCAGGGCTGGCTTGTTTACCAAGTCAGTTCCCAGGCCAGCGCATCACCTGGGAACTTGTTAAAGATAGATTCTCAGACTCCAGAATTCAGAATCTGAGCTCTTGGGCCAGCCTGGCCTCTGTAAGCAGCCCTCTGTGCTTCTAGTAGCGGTGCAGTTGAGAACCTGGATGAGACCCCTTGGCATGCCTCTCAGAACCTGCTTCCGCCCCTGTTTATCTGGCTCACCGAGGCTACTGCCCCCAGCAGTGACTACCGGCCCATGCCGCCATGGCCACCCCTCCTCCCTTCATGCCTCATCTGTCCAGTTGGAGCCTGTGCTCCTCTGTGCACAGCCCCACTCCGCCTGAGTCGCAAGATCCAGCCCCTGGGTATAGCCCTCCCGCTTCCACTGTTCACAACTGTTTCTGGAGGAAGATGGGGCCGGGCCCCAGGGAGTTGGCATGACTGTACTTCTGACACCACCCCATATACACTCAGCTGTCCCTCAGCTTACACACTGCTTTTTCCCTGCCTGCTCAAATGCTGCTGGGCCAGCTGCAGGCCTACCCCTCAACTTCCAGAGCCCTCCCTTGGCCCCATTTTTTTGTAAAATATCTTTAGAAGTTTATACTTGCCTGCCTTTTCCTTGCTTCTGTTCATTCCTCAGCCCATGCCAACCTGGCTCCATTCCCTTGACCTCTCTCCTGAGGCAGTGGGCGCGGCCAACTCTTCTGAGACACCTGGTCCATCTCCCCCAGTGCCGAGGCTCTGAGAGCTTTGGTGGCAGCATGTCCCTCCCCGCCGGGCTGTCTGACCTCCCCCGCCCACACCAGCGCCCTCAGCAGGCCCTGCCACCTCCCAGTTCATCAAGCTGAAATTTGACCTGCTCCTTGGTTTCCTCCTTTCCCTCTCCCAAGACCTCTAATTCTTCGCAAGTCTCGACAGCTCCTGCTTCCAGAACGTGTCTGGGCTCTTGCTGCTTTTTCCATCCCTGCTGCTGACACCCAGGCTGGCCCTGTGCCCCTCCCTGGACGGCGCAGCAGAGCCTCCCCTCACGCCTATGCTCTGCCTGTCCTCACTTGCACAGCCACCAGGCAGTCCCCAGGAGACACGTTTCTGTTATCGTGCTTAGAGCCTTTCATTGCACCGAAAACAAGCTTCACACACCTCACCTGTATGGCCGGCTCCAGCCTCTGCCCCAGCCTGCTCTTCTGCAGAGAGGTGGTCCAGGCCCCTCGGGCTTCCATAACCCCATGTCCTCAGGGACTTCAAGAACTACCTTCAAACAGATGTCTGGGTAACACCTGTGGGAGGTGTGCAGCCTGTGCTGCCTTCAAAAGCCTGTTTCACACGTGAGGAGATGGGCTGGGTGAGAACATAGCTGTGGGGCAGGTGCACAAAGTAGCTTAGAGGGGCAAGTGGAAGCTGGAGGTCCTAGAGGGGCCACGGAGTGTGGACACACACTGTGGAGGCCAGCTTGCACTGAGGTGCATACGGGCACCCAGGTGGAGGACAGCCTGGCCCTGAAAGATAGAACAGGGTGAGCAGCCTAGCCAGACAGACAGCAGCCGCCCCAGTTGTGTTTGGACTCTGACAGCTCTGAGAAGCCTCCTTGGAGATGGTGCTTCTGAGACACGGACCAGTGTGACTCATGCTGGGCCTTAGGTGCCGCAGGTAACGCAGAGGGGTTACCTGCCCCCACAATGCAACAGGAGGGCAGGCGGCACCAGAGTGCAGAGACAGTGACCATTGAAGCTTTATTTCTAAACCTCACACAGATACAGAGAGGACCATACACCTGGCAGCGTGGCCAGGGGACACAGTGGCGCTCCACAGTGATGCTCCACAGTCCTGCTCCATGAGGCGAGCTTCCAGGTGTCTGACTGCTGTTCCTGGCCGCTCCTCCGCCAAAGGCCCACGGAGCTGCAGTGCCTCACCCATGCGTACCCCGCAGGGCTGAGGGCTGGGATCTCAGCGCTGAGGACAGTGGGCACCGGGAGCCTTCGCGTCTGCATTTCTGTAGTTCATTTCAGAGCTTAAATTATAGTTTTCTAAATATTAAACCACTTCGATTTTGTAAGTACCTGCTGAGATCATCAGGTAAATTAAAGGGCTTTTGAGAAAATTTCAATTTGTGATCTTTTCTAATACCTGACAGATGCCATCAAGAATTAAGTGTGAAGATATAAAAATATTATGTATATATAAAATAGCAACAGAGCTAAACTGAAATACCCACTCTGCCAGAACATGGCCCTAGATTGTATAAGTAGATATATTTATAACCCTGGCATCACCTCCCACTGTCTTAAGAAAAAATATTTTAAATAAATAGAATTCGCTGGATGATATTCACCGTTTAGGAATTTTAGAGGGTGGAACATTCCAGCACAGTTTACCAGCACATCTGGTTGTAGCTGGTGACTATCACTTCCCTGAAGCCAGCTCATGGTCAGTTCATTTGGTTTGAAAAGGAGCTTGTATTTTGCAGAAGAGCAACACAAAAGTGATAAAAGTTTTGTTGGTATCAATGACAAAAAAATACAAAATAAGTAATAAGACCGCTAGTAAAAAACTTTAAATGCCACCACAAAAGACAACAGTACAAGAAACCAAAGTGCTCAAATAGAAGGAGCAGTAAACTCACTCAGAACATATAAAAACTTTAAATATAATTTTAGTATATACAAAAGAGCCTCTTCAATCTAAGAGAACTGTCTTACAAGCAGAGGTCGGGAATCTGACCGCACCGCACTCCCAGCAGTTCCGGTGTCAGTACAACCCCTGCCGCGCCCCACGCTCCTCAGAGCGTCCAGCATGGCTGAGGCCAAGCCCCCATGTGTAAAAGGAAACCAAGAACAGAAGTGGAATGCCAACTTAAGCTAAGTTCTGAAGCTAAGTACCCAATCCTCAAGATGTTTTTCAGCCCCGTTAAGTTTTAACTAAAGCACTGAAGCCAGAGTTGGAGACTTCGTGTGGCAGTCCACAAGAGAGGCGTCCTCAGATTCAGACCTGGGCAGTCAGTGCCACTGGTGGAGTGGATATATGCTCTCAAAGCTGTAAAAGGCCTGGAGAAATACAGACCGAGGCAGGAGAGCCTAAATCTGCAGGGGAAATGAGCTTATGAAGGAATGCCTGATGTGCTCATGTGTCTTGTCAAGGCTCGTGCCAGCAAGGACGTCATTTCACTGCCACGGGGCCCAGAGTGGGGCAGAGACAGCCTCAAAGGTAAGCTCTAGGGGTGAGGGGCCAAGTCAGCATAGCACCCAGAGCCCACACAGCCCTGCTCTGGGTTTAGGAGAGGGTTTGAGTCAGAGACTGCAGGCCATTCTCTTACTGTGGCTGGCTTTGCCCCTCAGTCACTGCCTGGCAAATAGCTACATTTCCCTCTGGGTAGCCTCCAGGACCTCTTCCTGCCCCCCTGTGCCAGCATGGGCCCGGCAGCCATGAGGCAGGCTAAGAACTATCTGGGGAGTCTCAGATCTGCCACCCTGCGTGGTGCTGCATCTTGCAGATGCCCAGGCCACCACGGACCCTGACAGCACCCTTTATGTTCGTCCACTTCGCACAACCAGGTGCATGGGTAAGGGGCGGCGGAGGAGGGGCACAGCCTGTCCAGCAAACCAGGCTGCATCACTTACAAACTTACAACTATCTTGCAATATTAACTTTTTCTGAAGAATTTTAAAACTATCTGGCCAACCTCGAGAGGAATCTCCAATCTCCAGTTGAAGTTCTTTCTGCTGGTTCTGGCCTTTCTCATTAAGAAAAATCATTTTGTCTTCAAGGACATCCGAGTAGAGCATGAAACTGACTTTTGCTCTGTGAGGTGCATGAAGCCTAGCCACATGGAACAAAGCAGTTCCCCACCACTGAGCCAGTCACCACTGGGAGGGTGGCCCTGGGATCGAAAGCTGCACAGACTGACACTGCTGAGAACAGCAGATGCTCTGCCTCCCTCACACCTGGTCCACCTGTTCTCAGGATAAGGAATCCATTGGCTTAAATAAATGCTCCCATTAGGCACCCTTCCCTATTCTGAGCTTATCTAAAGTGTTATCAGGGATGGCCTCTGTTTTTCAACAAGGCTATAAATTCAATGACTTCTCTGGAAGATTCCTAAATGAGCACTATGCTCTTTAAGAGTTCATCTGCAAGAGGAATAAGCAATTTGTAGTTTTGTGAATTAAAAAAAAAAAAAAAGATACCACCACCTGAAAAAGGGAGGGGTGAGGCACTGCTCTATAAAAAGGTCCCACCCTACATACAATGAGATATTAACTGGACAGGTAAGTCACCAGTTGGTTAATTCTTTCTCTAGAACTTGGGAAGTTAGAAACAGGTCATTGAAAAACTTCAGAAACAACCATGTACATCAAGAGAACATATCGGAGGGTGGGCCTTACCCAAGGAGCCAGCGCAGGAGGCCTTCAGTGCCGAGAGCTACACAGCTCGCCTGTGAGGTTTAAAGTTCAAGAAACAGTGTCATCCAGGACACCCCCAGGTCTCCGTTACATTCACAGTCTCTTTCACAAAATAGCATTCAAATAGCACGGCAAGCCTCACTTTACTCCCAACCATTGTCTTTGATCATGTGGGCAAGCTCAATAATAAATTTTCCTTCCTTATATTTCTGACTGCTCTCAAAGGCATGTTCCTTGAAAAAAAAAAAAGTGGAGAGAGAAGGTTTCAGGACAGAATCTATTTCATTTTTCAATTTTACTACACTCTTGGCAAAGAAAATAAACGCACAGTATTTTATCTGCACACAGATGTTGCTGTGTGTGTTCCCAGTTCCTTCTCCCCAGTGTGGAAAGCGCTCACTTGTCTCTTGCCCAGAGGGAGAACATCTTAGGGGACAATGCCATCGAGTCAGTGTGCGTTTATTTTGTCATTAATTATGATTGAACGTGTGGGGAAGTGTGGATTTGAATCTATTTATGTGCAGGACAGGTGAGGAGGTGCAAAGAGGGGAAGAAGCTCCCTTTCCGGAATTTCGTCTGAAAGGAGACTGACAGCAAGTACACGGAGAGCCAGAGGTGTCTGGAGGGAGAGAAGGCCCTTCAGGGGGAAGGCTTCATGGATGAGCAGGGACGGGTGGGGGGGTCCCCAGCTCTCTCTGTCACGCCGTTCCAGGCTGACTGTGCAGCCCGTGCTGGGGCACTGGGGTCCTGCCTACCTCGCTCACAGTGTCAGGCCAGCAGACAGGAAAGAGCACTGCAGTAAAGGAGAAAACTGCGACAACAGGTGGGTGGCAGCTGGTACAGATGCGGGGACCCCAGGTAACAGAACTGGGGCACAGGGAGGCCTTGTGGATGCACCCCCACCATGGACTGTGCGCCTCATACCTAATTCGAGAACGAGTGCCAAGCAGACAGATGGCCCCGAGCAGCCAGGGCAGGAAGGCTCTCAAAGGAGGCACTCATACAGCCTGACGCCCAACCTCAGCTCTGTGGGCAGGTCTGCCAGGAGGCCCTGGACACACAGCCTCTGCTGGGAAGACAGGCTGGGAAATGCCAGCACACAGGTGGTTGGAACCACATAAGGCTGAGGACAGCGAAGGGAGACAAGGAGGGCAGGTGGCCAGAGAGGTGGAGAAGACAGGTTCCAAGAAGGAGGTGCTTCTCCAGGCCACTGCTGCAGGTTCCAGGTGCACCTCACAGGAACACGGCCTTGGACGGTGTTGGGGTGGGGAGAGTAGTAGCATCAAGTGGGGGTACCAGGGGAGGAGGAGGGCAGCCAAGAGGGTACCTTCTCCCTGGGTGAGAAGACCTGGCTGTGCTGTCGAGAGACGAAGCTGGTGGAGGTGGGGGGGCCACACTCCACGCAAGGTACAGGAGAAAGTGGGGGAAGGAGTAAGAGCCCACAGTGGGAGGGGGATCAAATCCTCTTATCTTTAGACCCTAAACAGGCCCTGGGGCCCAAGGCACCTGGCGCTGCAGAAGGGTCTGCTGGGATTGTTACTGCAAAGTAACGCCACAGGCCCAGCCATGGTGTCTCCCAAAGGTGGCCAGGCCTGACCGCCAGGCCTCAGGGCCCCCCACACTTAGTGCGGCTGAGAGTCCAGGCTGCAGGGGCGGGACAGCAATGTCTGCAGACAGTGGGCAGCTCCCCTGATCAGGTGCTGGTTTTGTTCACGAACATGGAGGTGTGTCCATAGGATCAGATACACTTTTAATTGGCTTAAAGAAATTTTATCATAAAAGATGTACTCTATGACTGTTACGCTCCACCACACTTCAGTGGGAGGACTCACTCCTTTATGTGTTCATTTTCTGCCCATCTGTAACATGTTTTATTTATTACAGTAAATAAATAAAGTTCTGTGACATGTTAGAGTAAGACGGGTACTCACGTATTTCCAGCCTAGAGTGGTTTTGCAGTTTTCACAGTAGATATCCGCCACAGCGTGTAAACCAGTGAGGAGGACTCGCTCCTCGGCGGGGCCACAGCCCACGTTCACCCTGCAGGGAAGAAGGAGTGTGGGACAGCTGTATGGATGGGCGCCCCAGGGCAGGCAGCAGCACTTCCACCACCCCCAAGCCTGCAGGAGTGCCACCAGCTCCCACCTGCCTCCAACCTGGGGTGTTAATTTCCCAAGCCAATCGGTTACCAGAAACCGGAACTTTCCAGAAGCCAGCAGCGTTTCTTCTTAACTCCCCGCCTCCCTCACCCTCTGCCCCCTACCACCTTTTATGAGATCAAACTGCTTTGTATTTCCCCACGAGAATCCCAGGATAGGACAACTGTGAGGAGATGGCCACAGCTCTGCCAAGCATACTAAAAACCAAAGCCTGTCTCATGCAGGAAACAATTAAACCAAAATCTCTGTGGAAGATTAAATTCTCAGATACAAGAATTATGCTTATATGGAACTCCAAGACTAGACAGCCTAGAATTCTTTTAGGTCATTGGTGGAATGTATCTGCATATTCCAGATTTGAATAACTAACCAATTAAGTGGATGTACAGAAGCAATAAGTGTTTTAACAGTGAGTACGTGCCCATGCGAGTACTGACCGCAAGTACTCACACAGAATTGAAGAGGTAGGCTCGTCCCTGACTTCCCTGGAAGGACTGCAAAGAAGAAAAATGTTTTATTACAAGATTTTTCATGGTGAAACAAAATGTGGCCATGAGTTGTGCATCTTGGGATGGAAATAGGGAAGCTGTGCTTTTCGGGAAGGGACCTCAGCGTGAGTTGAGGGCTTCTCCGCAGAGTGTGACACACAGCGCCCTGTGGTGGAGGGGCAGCCACCACAAGCCTTGGGGCCCTGGGACCCAGGCTCAGGATGGGCACCTCACAGGAGCTTCCTTCTGAGAGGAGGGCCCGGAAGTAACCACACCCTGCAGCCCCCAGTGAGACTGCTCAGTGCCTAATTAGCTCCCCTGGGAGAAGTTACAAAACAGCAGAGGCTCAGCGCCACCAGCCTGCAACCCCATCCTACTAGGAGCGGCCATTACGTCAAGCAGCACAGTTCTATGGGGTCCACACTCAGGCAGTGAAGTGGCTGACTCCACTCTGCCGTCATTGTTGTAAAATCACAGCAAAACCAGCCTTCAGACTTCCAGGCAACATGGCGCTATAGTCAGAAGTACCACGCCGTCCCTCCACAGCAAAGATCAGAAAAACTAAGTCAAACAGAGTCACACTTCAATCCTGAAACCCTAAGCATCAAATGAAGAGATAAAGAACTCACCCAAGCACTGAATGGAATAAGAAACTGACCAAGAACAGAGCATGAGGAGAGATACATGCAGAGGTTCCCCTATCAGCTACCGCAGCACGGATCCATCCGCCATCTTGGACTCCTATCGGAGATCAGCAAACAGGAGGTACGAGAAAGCAGCTTCACGGAGCTTCCAACAGGAGACAGAACAACCAGTAACCCACGATATAGGCTTTCCCACCCCGCACCATTCTTCAACCCCACTTAGCCTCCTCTGCTTCCTGCAGCCACAGTCTATTGGCCAGGAAGCACAAGCTTCCCCCCAGTGTCACTTGGATTCCACCCGTCCACACGGGCCAGCTCCCTGAGTACCATTTGTTGGCTGCTGGTGTTGCTTTTTTCCGATTCTTTAGACTTCTTCCTTACTTCTCACCACCTCCGCCTCCTTTCTCTCAAATACCTGGCTCCATGCGCCATCTTTGCATCTTCCTGAAAGGCTGCAAAACACCACTCAACTGTGAAACTGCTTTCCGGCCCATGCCACCACTCTGGTGGGACCCCCAGGGCTTTTTTGTTTGTTTGCTCTGATTTGTTCTCTTCTGATTTGTTTGTTTTCTTTTTCTTTTCTCGGCTTGGGAGACCCTTCTAGTTGGGCAGTACCTCACGGCTTGAAAGCTAGTTCCTTTACTCTGCACAGACCCACAAGGACATCCCTGGGGGCATTTCTTTTTTTGTTTGTTTTTGGTTTTTTTTTTTCATTTCTTTGTTTAGTTGTCTTCTCTCTCTTATCCCTTTTTGTCTTTCTTCATTTCCAGTTTCTCGATTTATTCATTTTTTTTCTTTTTTTCATTTTTGTTTTTCCCCATTTCTCAATCTCTCATCTCTCCACTCCAATAGCAACCTCGCTTAGTACTCTTTTTTGTTTGTGTGTACGTTTTTGGCTCCTGTTCCTCTCTCCTCTTTCCCATACCCATCTTAGCTCCACACATCACAATCTACCCCCTCCTTCCTGCCTACCTGCACCGTGCGCTGAACATCACACTCCCAAGCAGCACAGGCACAGCCTACTGGAACCTGCCCTGCACTGATTCCTAGTCTGCACTGTTAGCCCTGGTACGTGCCAAAAAAAAAAACCTATCCCAGCAACTCCCCTTCAGCTGGACCTGCCCTGCTGTACCATACCTGAGTGACTGACCCTGCCCATTGGAGAAGGTGAAAAGCATCGTGCCGACAGAAGAGCAAACAACAAAGAATGCACAGCCCACCTGCTCAGACATAACCAAATAAAACAAAAAAGCAGGACAAAACAAACAAATCTACAATCAATAAACGAGGAAAATAACCACTGAATGCCCGAAGACAGCAGACAATATCAAAACATATACAAAAAACAGGACAGGATGGTTTCAGTAGGTGTCCAAAATAAAACACCAGATGACCTTCCAGTAGAAGAAAAGGCACTAGACCTAACTGATAGGGAATTCAAATCTCTCAAAATTCAGAATTATCCAAGAGTTGAAGCAAAAAAACAGACAAAAATAAGGAAAAAATAGACAAATTCATGGGAAAAGGAAGACAAATTCATGGAAAATACAGACAAAAAAATGGAATAATTCAAGAAAATAATACAGCAACAAAATGCTAAAATAAATTCACAACTATAAATTATACAAAAACAATTAGAAATCCAAAAGATAAACAACAAGATTTCAGAAATGGACAGTATCATAGAAGGGCTGAGGAGCAGGTTTGAAACCATGGAAGACAGGATCAGTGAAATTGAAGACAAACACTTGGATACAACTCTGTTTGAGGAAAACTCAGAAAAAAGAACAAAGAAAAATGAAGAAACCCTGAGACTTATGTGGGATAAAATCAAAAGTAAAAATCTGCGAGTGATCAAAATTCCAGAACAGAAAACACAGAGAGGATCACTGAAGAACTGCTGACAGAAAACTTCCCCAATATCATGAAAGATGAAAAGATGACCATCCAAGAAGCTCAACAAACCCCATATAGGATAGACCCCCAAAAGAAAATCACCAAGGCATATCATAATCACACTCGCTAAAACCAAAGACAAACAAAAACACTACTGCAAGATACCCAAAGAGATCTACATAAATGGAAGAACATACCATGCTCATGGGTAGGTAGACTCAACTCTGTGAAAATGACATTTCTACCCAAAGCAATTTACAAATACAATGCAATCCCGATCCAAACACCAACAACATTCTTCAAAGAGATGGAAAAACTAATCATTAACTTTATATGGAAAGG